CACTCTGAGTACCCTTTGTGGCCATTAAACTTTATAATATTATGTAAATAACAATTTATTAAGATAAAATCTTTTAACACGTAAGTAAAGCGAGTGAAATTGTTGTTTTTTAAGGTCGGATGTTATTCAGAAGTTTTTGTCACAAAATATTTTTACTTTCATTTGCCAGAGAATGCCAATGTCGGCAGCTGACGCGTACATGATCGGGTTTTAAATTAAAAACTAGGTCAGCCGCGCCCCGATATTAAACACATTTAGATGTTTCTCAAAACATTTAACAAGTCATTAATTATATTTTGAATGATTAGTTGTCATTAATTGTATCGTAATTGTTAAGTAAGTTTACATGCATTAAATTAGTGGGCGTCCTTTGCTGTCATTGGAAGATAAAATTTAAAATCAAACAATTAACTTTAATTTAGTTCTGCCAATATTTTATTTATTATTTCTAGTGTTAATGTCATTGTGTTAAAATTATTGAATTAATATCTTAGTCTTAAAATAATGTTTGTTAATTCTTTGTAAAATTTTAATACCGATATGAAAAATGAGCAATCAGCAGGTTGGTTATTATCCATGTAATTAATAGTTTATTTGCGGTTTCACAATTAACAAGTCGGTATCATTGAAGTGCTGATTGGCGAAGGCTTTAATGTTAAGTCCCGGAGGCTTATTACGACATGGATAATACAGATCGAAGTTTAACCAGCCTAATGATTTGACCTCGAACTACATAGGTGGCGTGGTCGTGCGAGTTGTTTGAAATGAGATTGCACAGGCTATCAATGAAGGCTGCTCAGATGTACAGTAATTCACATCACGGATTCGTAAATACATTCTTAAATCGTGATCGTGCGTACTTTAATTAGTGGATTTTGAAAGTTTCAAGTTATTGTTCGTATTTCGTTCTTTATGATCAATAGATGATCTCGTGCCATAACTTAAATTTATACCTCGTAGTACTTAAAACATAATTTTAAATTCACAAAGTATTGTAAAGAAAATTGGAAATAATTAATTAAGTTGTGATTTTTTTTTCTTTTTACTGTAGACGTTTTAATGTTAATAAGACGTTTTTTTTATAAGCAGAATAAAACTTTATCCGTTGAATGCTGTACAGGTTTCATATGTATGTTGAATTACATTGTTTTTTTTTATCACATAAGGTAGCAAACGTGCAAGCGGCCACCTGAATCCGTCACAACGGCGAAGCAAACCACTGCCCATAGACATCCGCAATTGCAGATGCGTTGCCTACCCTTATCCGACGGAGGAGAAGACGCACATAAAGAGGATATTTCCTCTTCCTATGCATCTCCTCCACCGTCAAATCCATTTCCCGTTCCTATCCTCTCCTTATAAGAAAAGGGTGGTACAGAGAAAAGTACTTATATTAGGCCTCGGGCACCACACTCATCGGACGAAACACGGAATTGCTTTCATTTCACGCCTGTCTTCTGTGTGGTCGTGGTATTACACCAGGCGTGCCGGCCCTGCAGTGCTAAGATGTTAAAGCGGGCACTACCGCTGTAAAAATTGTTCTATATTTGTTACTTAGCAAATGTAATAAAATATTTCAAACAATCAATTAACCCAAAAACTTTCTGATCTTGAAATACATTTTCAAAGATGAAGGTTGGCATTTGAAAGTTAACAATGTAACTTAAGCTAATTAATCTTAAGTTATACAATTAAAGTAATAAAGGAAATACTTTGTTAGTTTTATATTTTAATAACAAATTTTTAGTATGTAATGTTATAATACGATTTCTCTTCTTTGGAGGTTTTTTTTTTTACTTTATTATCATTATTAACAGGTCGACGCAGCGTGGGTAGGCCTCCCGCAAGATGGACCGATGATCTGATCAAGGTTGCGGGAATATCCTGGATGCGGGAGGCACAGGACCGCTCATCGTGGCGATCGTTGGGGGATGCCTATGCCCAGCAATGGGCGTCATATGGCTGAATAGTAGTAGTAGTAGTTAATATTATTATTAATATTTACCTTTAATCTTTGTTATTAGTAATTTTTTTAGTTAAGATTTCAATACAAACAAATCTAGGTTAAATTGAAAATTAAACTTCTACAATATAATCGATATTCAAAACACAGTAATTAGTAAAAAATGGTATCAATTGTTTCCAATACAATTAACAAAGTGATGTAATAAAAACTGTCTTGCCTCCGTCTATTCGTGGCCTTTTTCCGACATTGTTCGACATGTACGGATGCAGAACGACTATCCACTTGACAATGATGTTTCCCACGCGGTGTGGTAATGCCTTACGCGGCTCCGACAAGAATGTCAGTAATTCGTTCAAGTGCTGAGGATAAGATGCGTCACATACGTGCCACGTACCTGACATTACGACATGTTAATTGTAATATTGTGAATTAATGTGGTAACTGGTTATATTTTTTTTTACTACTTATATTCAATCTATTTCGTTTTAATAAAGTTTGTAAACATTAAAGTTTTAACAATATGATATTGTGCTTATACGTTATTTATTTCTATCATTTCTTGTAACATTGATCTTTCTAAGTTCTTTTTTTAAATATAGTTTTTAAATTCTTAAGATTATTTTTATTAATGAAAGTTTCTGTAAATACAGATTTTTTAACGTTTTACATATAAACAGTACATACTTTAAAGTGTTACTGCGCGATATAGTTTCTTCACGTAATCTATAAAAATCGTTTTACTAAAACGTTCAAACGCCGGTATTTCTCAACATCCTGTCAATCTTGATCGTGTCAATACCATATACTGACAGCTATGTCGAATTATCGGATATATACAACTATATGTTAGGTTTTCAGATCCAGTTGGTAACGAAATATATCTCTTAACACTTTAACCAACGCACCCAGAGACATTAAAGCACTTAGTAACAATTTCTCACGTTTAATTAACTAAGGGACTCCTTTATTGATCAATTAAAAACTCCGAGTAAGCATTATACGGTTATAATGTTTTTCGAAAAGGTTTTAATACTGCTTAAGTCAGAAGCATCGGTTCAGTGAATCACTAACAATGGTTCTAAAACACGAGTTTCGGTAATAAATTCAATACAACGAAATATTTGTAAGCTTAATAACAGCAATCTGTCGCGCTCCAATAAATACGAAACTATTTGTAAATAAGACAATCAAAATGTTTTATTTTTCTGTGATGTCCAAACATCGTAGAGAAGCAATTTTAGCCATTGTCATCATCGTAGTAGAAAATGGCACAAATGCAAAAAACCCTAAGTAAAATTTTTTAGATGATTATTTATTTAAATCCTTCATTTTATAATTTTGTAACAATTAGCTCTGTAACGAAGCTACTTACATGCAATGTGTGGCCATTATGTGAAATACTATTTTAAATATGTAACAACGACGTATCAAGGGTACGTATTAATTCCAAAATCCATTGAAATTTTCACCACTGTAATTGTAAGCAGCGCATACGAAGTCATAGGTTTAATATTCGCTCCAATATTTGGATGTTACACTATTGATCGCGACTCAGAATTAGTAGTTACGTCGTTTTCATAAAATATGTATAACAATTCGTTCATCGGAGTATCGAATTTACGTTATTATGGGTTGTAAATTCTTCACACAAACATGCGAATGTTTTGTGCAATACTGTAGAAATGGTAACAAAGCGCGGTCGCACCGACTTGACCCCACCGCGACGCTACGGATTAGAGAGGGCAGAGCACGTGATGAGCTTGTGAAAGGCATATTTCGCATACATAACAGAGAAATCTTTGATACAAACTGTTTAATAACATATGGCCATTATAGATAAAAGCTTTTGCATAACAAATCAATATTTATTGCTACTCACAAGTCGGTTAACTAAACGGATTATCTTTATTCTATTAGCGAGTTTAGAATCGGAAGATGTTTATAACAATATTCATAAATTGAATAATTTTCGACGTTAATAAAATAAATTTCGCTTATTCTTTAAAAATTTTCATACCACTCATTTTGTATGTATACTGTAAACTAAATTTTTTTTGTCAATATTTAAAATATTAAATACTAAAATACACAGAATATTAGAATCCATAATAATGATGATGATGGTTAGGATCTTACAGCGTAATTTCTTTTTAATTTAAAAATTACAGAAGAGTCACTACTTATATGCCATTGTAAACATACATATATCTTAAAAACAAAGTTAGCTACAATACAGTTATGCAATTATTTGCTCATAACAATTGTAAACAAGGAAGTGACCAAAATAATTGATCGATTACCAATATCGACGACCCGTATTAAATTTGGCAACAGTTTAAAAAATCAACTTCGTTTAGAACGGGCCGACGGTCGATTGGGATGTAACTTGCATAAAAACCTTCAGTATTGCATCTGCAGTTACGAAAAATACGAGTGTTGCATGCCGCATTTATTTGAATAAAATAAAATTGGAGTTTTTGGCGCAAAAACGCATATTGCAACATCGCAATACGCTAATACCTCACATACAGGATCGGGATAATAATATTTTTTACGAAAATTAGGTTTTTGGGAACTGTTTGATTGTACAGAATTATTTTAATAAAATATACACACATTGAGAACTGCAGATTTTTAAGTATCAGATAAAACTAGCCTATGTGTTCTTCCAGACTATGCTCTACATTTATGCTAAATTTCATCGAGATCTGTTCAGCTCTTTAGGCTAAAAACTCTAAAACATCTATCTATCCATCCTTCTAAACTTTTGCATTTATATTATTAATTAGCTATAAGATTCACATTGCCGAGAGATAAACGATGAAATTTCGCACAACAGCGATTCGTATCGCCATGTACTTTACTTCAATAGTTTCATCATCTTGTAGCATACCACTACAAAGTGAATAGCCATGAAACCAGCACAGATACAGTAGGGTAGGAAAAATGTGCAATGAAGGCTACAGCTAATGCTCGGTGGTTGGGGCGCATCACGTGCTAAACTTTCATGGCGCAGGCTTCAACGCGCTCGACGCTACAAACAGCGTTAGTACGAGTGCCGACGCAGCACCGGCCGCACGCGCACACAATATCATTCCGAATAAATGATGATATCAATAAATAAAACAACGAACTAAATATTTTGTGAAGTGTTTCGATTTCAGTGTTTCAGTGGTTAGCAAGTGCACTGTGAGCTGGAACTGTGTTAAGATGTTTGCAAGGTATTTTAAAATTTATAGAAAATGAAATAAACACTAGTCTTTACATAGATTACAGCCAGAAAATTAAATTTTTTATTTCTTTTCAATATTAGGTTACGCGTTGATGTCTTTTGTAGCGACAGTAAAACTGTAGCGCTACGAATGTCTACAACGATTATCGTAGTGATGGTTTAACTTATTTATTACCAGTATAATTGTATTGTACTGTTGTGTAATGGTGAATATATGGTTGGAAAAATTATCTGCCCAATAAATACAGGCAAACACTAGTGTTTATTTTTAAATTAACGGCAAAATTTTGTGCTTAATGTATAAAAATGCGGGCCATGCATATTCATTTTAAGGCAATACAATATGAATACCATAGTTATTAAGATATTTTAGAACTTTATAAGTGAATTATATTTATTGTTGGAAATATATCTGTATAACATTTCTACTAGGACAACTTGTACTCGCGCTCGCTTAAATAATTATTTTAAACAATAAGAACAGTTAATTGGTCCTTGTTAACTTATCTGATCGTATCGGCCGGTATTCTTTGTAAATAAAACTATATATCAAAACTGCTTTCACTTTTACAGAAACTTTTACCTTAAGTGCAGCATTACCTTCGAAGTTTGTAACTTAAAGTTCATATTACAAAACGATATATTTTTATCATAAAATCAATACTGTTTGTAAAAGTTGTTACTTAGTTGTCCGAAATAAATTTTAAACAGTAATAAGATTTGTCATATAAAATATGGAACGATATAATTTTAATATTATGGAAATGCCGGATTCCTAAACAGTGTGGGTGGTAGAGAATATCTACGCAACATTCTTTTATTGAGTCGTGATGCATCTCATTATACACGATCACCCAATTTCACCTCCATTTAGTTATTTTTAGAAGCCATGATTTTTTCACTTTCAAATTTATTTTATTGTTATGCGTGTGTGTTGGCTTAATTTTTAAAACTTTTTTTACATAACACTGGCTTTTTTCCACGAGTCTTTCTGCGCGGTTTAAAAAACACTTAGTAAGTTCTGGGTTCTGTGCTAAATTTCATCGAGGTCCTTTAAGCATTTTGGCTACAAACTCTTACAAATATCCATCCATTCAAAATTTCGCATTTATAATATTAGTAAGAATACTTTTTTCAATGCCGGTTTGAAAATCATTAGAAAAAATGTCAAATACATTTCATAGGTAAAGAGTATTTATGACTATTAGCTACATTGTAATTTCAAAAATATATGGGGTGAGTTCATCGCAATTAATTCTTTTTACAATACTTTTATATCTAACATGTTTGATTAATATTAACTATCGGACCTAAAATATGATATTAATCAGGCATCATTTTATAAATAAACATTATAGTTCAGCACATACTAGTTTGAGAAGACTAAACTTAAATTCTATCGATGTTTCTTAGGCGTTTAGTTAGTATTAAAAAAAGTTGCAGCCCCATTTAGTGAGGTACATTATGCGAAGCTGCATTTAGAAAAGGCAACCGTCTCCATACATAGCTTCTTATTACAAGACTTAAATATTAATTGCTTTATCGCAACTAAATTGTGTAATGTAATATTTATAATGCTGTCCAATTAAATACAAATTTATGTCTGTATTTTACTTGATAAAATTTAAGCGGAATGTTCCACTTTAATTGCACCGAGTGTAATATTGATATACGATTATATTATGACAAAAGACCATGTTTATCGTAGTTATTTAGATAAAAACTTTTGAATGTACAGTCATATTTTGTATCAGAGTTACTTAACAATTTATTACATTATAGTTTTTGAGTTGTTAAATTACTTTTAATTGATTATAATTTCTTCTCTTTCTGCACATCGCTAACTCTCTTTACAAAGGCATTGGTCTATAGCTAATTTTATTGATATTACATACAACAATTGCTTTCCAAAAATAATAAAAGATTGTAAATAATGTTATTAAAGATTGAATTGTAAATTGTATTGCACTAAGGAAGTCGTTGATGACATAAGATGGCGCATCACCAAATTTTAAGCTTGCGTAAGAGATCAAGGAAATGGATGCTTTCATTTTTTGTGACATTAAAATAAAACACTTGTATATTTTAAACAACAGAAACTCTCACGATAACAGCCTGGACTTACTTAAAACATGCTATATGTAATCTTAACTTTAACTGCAATATAAGTAGAAGTTAAAGTCTATCTTTACTTTTTTATATTAGGGCTTGTTTCAATAGACATATACAAAGTTTTTTTAACAATGTTTTTATTAAATAATTTCTGTTTACTATTATATATTTAGGTCACTTATCGTTTATCGTTAGCTTATAAAAACGTTCCCATTTATTGTAATATAACATAGCTCAAGCGTGAACCACGATTCGAATCCATTCGGTTTATTTGACTTTCATCTGTTACGGCCACGTAACGCAATTGTTCAGATGTACCGGTAACGTCTACAGTAATTAACAATTACGAAAACATCAGATAAAAATGATACTCTCAATTGCCTAAAGTTGTTAAATTTACAAAATTTATTGTAATTTTATTCGTATTTATGTTAATAATGTTTTAAAGCAAATAGTTTTTTGGAAGTAGTTTTTCGACTGACAAATGTTTTCGCGCGTAAAATAACACATGTGTGCAAATTTTGTATTTTCATTCTATTATAGGAATGACTTAACCAATAATCAGCTGGCTTATTTTTTTTTAACTAAATAATTTTTAAGTGTATTTTACGATCTATATAAGGTTTATGTAACCTCAAAATGTATGGAAAACATACAGATAGAGTTAACCGTGATAATCCAAATTGTTTTCTTAGTATTCGTGTCAATAATGCGACACAAGATCCAAATACAAAGTTGAAGTGTTGAGTAAAAACTGGTCAGTGTGAGCTCAGGTGATCGATGATAAAAAGTCTTGTAAGGTATTTTAATTACATACACCGTTCAATAGATAGCGCTGTAGGTCGATAAAGTACTCCATATGGTGAAATCGACAACTAGTTCTATTGGTAACGCTATAAATTCGTCACTTACTCAACTTACGTGATTTTAAAATAAAAATGCAATTATTTTTTAAAACCAACGGTTTAACTAAAGCTATGTTCCTAGTGTTTTCGACGTGTGAAACAATCAGATTTAAGTTCAGTTGTTTTTTTGTTTTGTTTTATGAAACATCAATAAATACCTAAGGGTTCTAATTATTATAGTTAATTCCATATATCTTTATTTCTTATTCTCTATATAATACATTTTACAAGAATATAAAAATAAA